TCATTTTCATTATCCCATTTATCCATACATCCATCAACCCAATTTGCTCTATACATTTTCTTTCCTGCAACATATTTGATATTATACAATCTATCACTAGGTATCCATTCTAATACATTTAGTAAATCGTAATTATCATGAGCTGATAACTGAGTATCCTGAATAAGTTTATCAATATTGTCGTTACCACTAGTCCAATTTTTAAAATTTCGTTTAAAATGTATTGTGTTACATGTATAATCACATTCTTCACATATCTCATTAATATATGACGACTCAGTTATTAGCATCTTAAAACCCTTAATAATAGAATTCATTGAGAAAATTACAAACAGTAGATATAGGGTAATAGAATAACTAAATAATATGGAAAGATGACTGCAAAAAAATTTTCACAACCTAGAAGGTACAAAAATACAATGTACTACATATAATGTCGATCATTATTGAAAAATATAGTAAATTTGTCAATAAAATCACGTGCACATAAACTAATTAGAGTTCCGGATATAAATTTATCCCGGATATCCGGTTCAGAACATTAGTGCCGGCCAAAATTATTGTACAAGGCCGTTTAGGAATTCATGTTATACAACGTCTCTATAAGGAAATTTTGGTTTCGACTTTTGTGGGGCAGCTATCGCCAAAAAAGGAAACGATCGTCTTCACGAATGATAATTCTGGCCGGAATTATAAATTGGCCCGAATTAACACTTCAGATAACCTGTATATACTGTACATCGGATAATCAGATATCCGCCGGATAATCCGGATAATTCGGATAAAATTATCCGTTTATCCACGGATCAAAAACTAATAGAGCGAAATTTTCGTATAATCATAAAAAAGGGATCATGAATAATTTATAGCAACAATGCAATATGAACGCTATCTTTTTATTTTATTATTGATAAAAAATGGATTTATTTCATTAAACTTTGCAGAATTTCCAATAAATTAATTTCAAATCTGGCCATGCCATTAGAATTTTTTTCTTACCAATATCCTTTTCAAAGAGTACAATATTGTCGCTTTAAAAAGCACATACTGTAAATGCAAGAAAAAGAAATTCTTCAACAGAAATAATTTTTCCCACCTGAAAACATATGATCCAAAAGATGATCATTTACATTTGACACCTCGTTTGTAAGAAGCAAAATATTTTTAAATTCTATAGTATTTACAAGGCAACATCAAAAATTTATGAAAAGCTAGTTTAAACTAACTAAATTATCACCTTGGTCATAATAATTCATAATAGATATATCAGCACCATTTACACGATTATGCAAATGTAGTTATACCTACTGGGTAGAAATTTTATATGTATTTATTTATCCGTTTCTAGGAAATTTTGCGGTAAAAATTAACTATTGATTATACTATAATGGACTGATTTGAAAATTTGAGTTTCCAAATGAGAAAAACTTTCTTTTGATTTATTTGTAATCTCAATATTATTTTTCAACTATAATAGTAATAGCTCCGAAGCTTTTTAAAATTTAATTATTTTTTAAAAATCTTTTAAAATGAAAAAAAACCAAGCGAAAGAAAAAATAAGATTCAACAATAAAATATACTATATTATACTCACAATAAACTATAAAACACTTACTATTGTGTAAATGGCAGAGGATAATTCAATTAACTCCTGGCTAATTAGGAATAAGTAAAATTTACACCAGAAATATGTGTTTGTTGGTATCAATACTACTGTATTTGTATGTCGTATATTATTAAATTCAGTATCATTGAATTACTGACGCGTGTCAGCGTCAAGACGCCGATTTTAAATAGTTTGCTATTTGCGCAATATAAATGTTTGCGTACGATATATCCTTGAAAATTGCAATCTTCATATTTTATTGATATATGAAATAATTAAAATATTTGACTCGTTACGGATACTTTGTATTATTTAAGGATAATATTATTAATTTCACATATTTGATCAAATTTATTCGCCAGTGTAATCAATAAAGTCAGATTAATGATTATGAAAATAGTTTTCTTCAAAAAATAATACATTTGATATCAGATATTGATCATAAGAAATTTATAAGCAGGTCAATATTATTGACAAAATTAAGGTAAATCTCGTCCTAATCATTATTCTCTTCCCTATTAGACCATTTAAAAAAAATTTAAAAAAAAATTTGCAAATAATTTATGTTTAATATTATTCAAGTTCCCTTAACCTTAACAATAATAATAAAAAGATGGTACGACATCAAAAAAAAATAATTTTTAAAAATAAACAATCTATTTTTTATTACCAATTAAGGAAATATTTTTTAATTTTACCAATTGTATGCTGGTCAAGTCAGACACGTCGCACAGGTCAAGAACGATATATTTGCGTTTCAACCTCCTAAGAAAACAAATGTGTATTCGTAATTACACAGAAAATAAGATTGTGACTGTTTGTAGTGAGTGGCTATTAAAACTTTGCGATCCTTAAACCGGAATTCCTCAAATTTGACAGATAAATAAATTTTAAATTGTATAATCTTACTTCCATTGGCCAGTTTATCATGTAACATGGAAAATTTACTTTTCACACGCGATTGTTCAAATAAAATCAGTTACAAGCACAATAGGATCGACATGGTGGTCGCATCAAATGGTTCAAGAAACACGGCGACATGCAATAAACACTAACAATGAGAATCATTCGTACACGCGCAGTGAATTATGAACTTGAATAATGTATAAAATAACCAGCTTGCAATGTTTAATTTTTTGACAAAAAAAATGAGCACTTGAAAAAGCTTTAATATTTCAAAAGATTATCAAAACAAAATTATCAAACAATTCGAATAATTTTAACAAACTTCCTAAGAAAAAATGAATCCAATTACATATGTCGCTAAACCACCTACCGCCAAAGTCACTGAAAAACCTGTTACTATCATGTAATGAAAATTCTAATTCAATATTTAAAATGGCTTGAGCTCTAAAAAAAAACAATAAAAAATAAATTTTCTAATCGTCATAAAAAGTGGAACTTAAGATGCTGTTTATTTTACTGTAGCTTCTTTGAAAATCATAGTAAATACATTGTCATGTCGAAATGCGTTAAAAATGTAAATTTTACATACTTTTTTGGACTCTTCCACCTTTTGTTCCGTCCTAAAATTTTTGGACATGAAAAATTTCCAACTCCATTTTTTCCGATTTCTGTTTTACCAAAAATTATTAATATTTTAAGATTTTTCAATTTAAATACCTTTTTTCAACAATAAATTAATTTTGTAAAATTTTCAAAATGCATCAATTACTTAATACAGAAATTTCTCAAAAAAAATCTCTCACATTAAATTTTTCTCAAACAAAATCTATATCAAAAATTTAAATGGATTTTATTAAAAAATTTCCATAGACTTTATAAAAAAAAAAATTTCTCATTAAAAAAAAGATTTTTTTAAAAAATGAATTTTATTTTAAAATAAAAAGATTTTAGATGAATATTAAAAAATCTTACAATAAATCACTTTCAATTTGACTTAACTGGAAAATTATATAGTAAGTTTATTTATTACAAAATTAGGTCCTAATATTAATATATTCTTCAGTCCTATTATAGTAAAATTAAAACACTATGTAAAAAGAATTTTTTTTTTTTTATTACTAAATTTATTGTAACATAATTTAATTTAACAATATTTATTACGATAAAGTAAAAGAAAATTGGCTTTTCATCAATCATGTTTATATTGATTTTTAAGTAAGATTTAAAAATAACTACAAATTAATAGTCCAATCATTGATTTTTGTTTATTAAATTATTCGAATATATTAAATAAGGATACTCCATTTATTCATTAAGTAGACAATCAAATTTGTTAAACGCAAATTACATTCGCTGAAAAAAAATAAATACTGTGTAAAAAATAAAAAAAAACGTAAATCATACTAAATATGTAAATGGTAATATTTTTCTTTTTTTGGTTATGAGGCGTAAAATATTACGCCTAAAGGTCACAAATTTATGCGGGCACAACATGAAGTTTGATCAACAATTTGCATTTTATTAATTTATTACGGTTTGAATGAACGAACTTAAAATAATTCTTTCTCTTCCCTTAATTTATAAATTACATTATGTCCACTCTTCGATATGAATTAATTTATGCAACAATTAGTAGGACATATACATTATTAGATACTAATATTTACAATGATATACACAAACAATTTGAATTTCGAAAACAAACAGTCCTTGCTGATAAAATTCTTACAAATGATGAAAAAACTGAAGCAATAAGAGATTTAACTAAAGCTTATGATCGAGATAAAGTTATGGATAACGATGGTATAAAAAGAATTTGTGAAGATTGTAACCAAGAATGTTTAGCCACATTATATTGTGAATATTGTGTTCAAAATTATTTAAAAGAAAATTTTTCAAATTGGACATCTGGAAATAATGATATTGATAATTTAATACAGAAATGTCAAATGGAAACACTTATGCCAAATATGGTAGTTGAATGGATCCCATATAGTAATTTAAGAAATATTAAATATTTAACAAAAGGTGGATTTTCTGAAATTTATACAGCAGATTGGATTGACGGAGCGTGTGAAGAATGGGATTCTGAAAAAAAACAATTAACGAGACACGGAAATCATGATATAGTGCTTAAAAAATTAGAAAATGTTGAAAGTGCAAATCAAAGTTGGTTTGAAGAGGTTTGTATTATTGTATTATATATTTTATAAAATTGTTGTAATTTTTTGTATTAGCACTAGTATTTTTACAAATTATTGTCTTTTAGGCTAAATCACATTTAAATATAAGTAATAAATGGGCGGATGTTGTCCAATGTTATGGTTTAACGCAAAATCCATCAAATGGACATTATATGCTTGTAATGAATAAAATGGATATAGATTTAAGAAAATATTTACAACAAAACCATAATCAACTTACATGGAAAGATAAAATGAATATTATTGATAAAATATCTCTTGCACTTTATTATATTCATGAAGAGAAAGCTATGCATAGAGATTTACATTCTGGAAATATATTATTTTCACAATATAATGATTCCTGGTATATTAGTGATCTTGGATTTTGTGGACCTGCTGATAAATCTTCAACAAGTATATATGGAAATCTTCCTTACATAGCACCTGAAGTTATTGTTGGAAGAGAATATACTTTTGCATCTGATATTTATAGTATTGCAATTCTTATGTGGGAAATTTCATCTGGACAAACACCATTTGTAAATTGTGAACATGAAAATGATCTTGTAATGAATATTATTAACGGTGTAAGACCAAAAATTGTGCCAGGAACTCCATTAGAATATAAAAATTTAATGAAAGAATGTTGGGATGCTGATCCATTAAAAAGACCTGACGTTAATGCACTTTGGGCAAAAATAAATGATATTAATTTAGATTATCAAAATATGCCGGATGAATTATTCAAATCAGAAATGGATAATTTAGAAATGAATAAAGTAGAAGAAAATTATACGAGTAGCAGATTATTTACAAGTAAAATTCACAACTTTGGAAACCTACCTGAACCAAGAAATGCAACGGAAGGTATAAGTATATAATATTTTATTAATGAATTATTTATTTTAACTACATTATTAATGTTATCTCTTTATTATAATAGAAGAACAAGAAGGTATAACCATATAAATAATAATTTCTACTATTTTTTAGTTACTATCATAATTTAATTTTTAAAATACTTTATTTTACTGCTAATAGTGTTTCATAGTAAATTGTATGATTTTAACATTCCTAACAATAGTAAGTATTTAATAACATTATAGCGTTGAATTATCATATAATGATGCTTAATAATTAATTTTTTTTAGTTGACGATTTTAATAAATCAAATGAGCAGAATAGTAGCAAATCATCAAAAGTAATTACTATTTTTAGAGGTAATATATTTTAATTATTGTCAAATTGAGATTGATTTATATATTAATTCTATATCTTAATTTTTAGATAGTAATAAAAAATTATCTAAATCATTTGAAGAGTTGCAAATAAAGTCAAATAGTAAGTAAATTACTAACAAATAAAGTTACTATATCAATTTCATTTATTAAATGCGACTTTTATTTAAAATTTAGATGACGAAAAAGAAAAAACTCAAAAATATGTCGATGGTAGGTGAAAATTTTACGTAATAACGAACGATTTTAATACTGTTTTAATTCTATTTACTTATCTATTACAGAAGATGATGAAGTATATAATAATCCAAACTTTCATTCAAACGAACAAGATGAACTGGAAATTCCTGATGGTAAGCTCTTAAAATAAAGTAATTTCTTTATAAAGCAAATAATTAATCTATTTTTTATCTTTAGATGGATTTTAAATTGTCTTTTAATAAATCAAATTAACAATATTTTTTTTTTATATTTTAAATTATTATCACATTATTTATTTATCATGGATTATTTAAACACTAAGACTAGAGTAGTAAATGTTTTACAAAATTCTTAGTTTGTAATTTAAATAATTTTAATAAAATTATTCGGTACAAATACCGTATATTGATTTAATGAATTAGTATACTATTTAAATTATTCAAATTTTTTAATGTTGTTCTATTATATTAACATTTCGATGGTAGTAGCTAAAGTTTAGATTCGAGTATTCAATAAAATTTATTTTTTCAAAAAAAAAAATAAATCAATAAATACTGTATTAATAAACAATGCTTTGTTTAAGATTGGACATAATATTATGGCGAGACGGCGAGAGAAAATCTACATATCATTCGGTTTTATCTTTATCCTTGCGTATTATACAAAAACGTGGCTTTATAATTTAAAGTAATTTATTTGCAAAGTCATAAATTGAATATGAAAACAAAGCACGGAGTATAGTGATTGCTTTCAATAGGAAAATAAGTACGGGAAAGACATTTAGGCAGGAAGATAAGGAAGATCTTTCAAATTCAAAGAAATTTGCATGTTATTTAATAAACATTTTTTTCTATTTGTGTAATGAACGTGATATTTTTTCATGATTGATATTTCAAGAAAAATCAAGTATTGATAAATGCGAGAAAATAGTTAAAAAGTTTGAAAGCAAAATTCTTTATTGTATTTTTTCATAAAGTAATACGCGAGAATAAAAAATGTAATAATACTAGAAATGAGCGTTTGAACAGATAAAACAGATAACATAATAACATATCCGAGTTTTTTGGTTTATGGCTTAAGTGGCTTATACAAAATCACACGTCCGGATGACTAATCATTTGTCACATTGTCATCTGACACGAATCACGCGACTCGCTCGACATCAATACACGCTTTAAATTCCTAACTTTTCTCAGTATATCATTCTCCTTCCTTAAAAATAAAAATACAAAATAAAAAAAATGACAAAGTTATATAGCGATATGCTTCACTATATTTTTCAGGAATCAATAATTTTTACTTTCTTGTACCTAATTTAAGATTAGTATTAGTTGTATTTATTTACTTGTTATAAATCAAAAACCAACTATTTAAGTATGTCATAAAAAAATTAAAAACAAAACATACAAATTTTCATATTCAAATACATGGCTAATTTTACATTTCAAATCCGTTAATTGAAGTCAATAGTGTTTATCAATTACTATCAAAAGTAAATTGTAGATTTCACAAGTTTGACTACAATTTCGCAATTATTTAAAGTTTTACCTCTCAGTTATTTATTATATTACCTTATTTATTCAATTATTTATTAGTTTTTAAAAATAAAAAGAAAAAATTAAATGATTCAAATAATCAATCATTATGTCATTTTAAAATATGTAAAAAATAAGATGAAGGTATACAGTACTTTAAAGTTATTTTTAATTGCCATAAAATTTTTTGCTTTATTAAAAATAAATCAATCGTTCTTAATTAATTAAATTTAATTCTTCCACCAAAAATAATTTATAAAAAAGAATTTTATTAAATGAAACTGAAAATTGATCATGGTGAAATATTGAAATATGTATTAAATATAGAACTCCTCCCATGAAAATTTGAAAATTACGCATAGCAAAACCAACTGGTCCTATCGCAGCAGGACTGCAGCAAAAACTGGTACCACGAGCTTATTAAAGCAAGTGCCTATGCTCCAACCCTTGCATAGTACTATACTGCTCCAAAAAGTTCCCAACCAGCCCTACCGAAAGCTGGTACTCACAGGCTTGCAAAGTAAACACAACATGCTCCACCAATGCACATTATCATGCTAAGTACTGTTAGGTCAGTTCTTTTACACTTAAAAATATTATAATTATGTAAGCAGAAAGTTTATATGTATTAAATGGTATATAATTAACCAGTATATTGAAAATAATATCCAATCAGACGTGTAGTATAGCACTTTATCCGGTATTTTATAATTGATGATGGTCAAAATATCATGTGTATCAGATGAAGTTTAAAAAAAGTTTAAAAAAGTTTGATGGTTACACCGGATAAATCACTTATTCGGCACTTTGAGCCGAATAACTAACGCTACCTAATAATCTAAAGGTAGCTTGAATCAAATTTGATTTACCCAATATAACAGTTATTCGGCACTTCGTGTCGAATAACTATTAAGTACGTCGGCATATACGTCCAACCACGAATAAAGTATTTCACACAAATAAACTGTATACTTAAACAATAATTGAGAAAACCTTTTATAACTTCAAATAAATCTTTATTTCTGTTGTTATCTATTGTTATCTGAAAAAAAATGGGTATTGCTAAATCTCACCGGTGGTGATTCTCACCGGCGGTGATTTTCACCGTTATTAATGTTGGCAGAAATTATGATTTAGCCAGAATTATAAAAAATTTTTTTGCAAATTTTTACCGAGAAAAAAAATTAAATGTAAGTAGTTTTTTTAAATATTGAACATGTTTTACTTAATAAAAAAACTTAATTTATTTGACCAAAGTAAGGAAATTACACTTTAAATTTAATAGACAGAAAAAAAAAATTTGAAAGTTAATAC